GACCACATGCTAAACAGGCCACGGTTCCTATACCAAAAGCTCTGTACTGATGAGAGCAAAGAGCCAGGCAGGGGGTGCCCCCCTTTGTTGCTGCTTTCATTTTTAAAATTAATCTTAATTTCTGCATTGGATACGAGGATGGGTTTACAGCTATTAGCCATCATATTAATAATTTAGAAAATACATGCCCAATCACTTGTGTTCTTTCAATTCCCTATGAACACAGCTGCAACCCACATTAGAAGCAAGGGTGAATGGATATTTTTCAGATGAGATATTTGGGCTGAATTATTAGGGTAGCCTGTACTACAAAATTACTAATAAACATTGCTTCTGGCTCAATTTAGCCTGAACTCAGTGAACCTAGTCAATGGTGACAAATCAAAAACTCCGAAATGCCCACCGAATGAATCTAACTAATCAAGGAACCCTGTAGGAAGTAGATGCCAGGATTAATGAGCCAGTAGTTTCACCATGCCATGCTGTTACTTCTTCACATAAATGCCCTCAGATGAGATTACCTTTATGTCAGGAAAAGGAGAAAAGGAAGGTTACATTCTTTCAACTGACAGGTTAACCATTGCCATTACTAGAAGACACATCTTTGTGGGCTCAGTTTTTTCTTTATCCTAAAAATTAAAATACACAGTCCACAACCCAAATGAAAAACATTTTCATTTTTACAGGAAGCAGTCATTGAGGACATCAAACATAAATGGCTCCAATGTTAGGATTTCATCCGTATTCTCCACTTACATCTACCTTGATTTACCCAAATTGCTCCACATCCTATTTTGTATTTAATACTTAACACCATCTTTGGTAGGTTGAATTCCTATACCATATTTCTTCCACCATCAACAAAAGGTAAACTAAGTGCACATTATTAACAGGCCATCATGTTATGCCACATATATTTAATACCAATCTTGAGGGGAAAAAATACACAAGGATGAATATGTATATTCAAATAAATCAATCACATAGTAACATCATGATAAACTTTGACTTTTTCTAGCCAGCATGTGGTGACAGTATTCAATGCCAAACAGGCAACTCAGCAAAAAGTACAATTCGTTAGAGGCAGAACATCCAGCATGTTGTACTTATCTACCTTGTGTTCTAATATGCGTCATCATTATTGTCTTTATTTTTAATGTAATTAATATAACTTCATTATTCTTTTTTAAATGTAATTATTAATATAACTTCATTATTGCCTTTATTTTTTAATGTAATTATTAATATAACTTCAACAGTTTGAGACACAATTGTTGCTGATAAAAAGCAAAAAATACTAAGAAGTTTTATTTTGTTTTTAGATTTTTTTCCCCTCCCTCAAAATGCAGAAATCTTTCAGATTTATGATTAAGTTTTTCATTCTCTCATTTTTATCTTTGCTAAACTGTCGACTTTAACAATTTAGACCAGATTGCCTTCCCTTATGCTAATAGCATATATAACATTAAAAATATTCAGAATTCTTAATGCAGAAATCTATTGCTATAGAAACAAATATTATTCTAAAGTCAGGTCGAGTGAAAAAATGTACACTTTCATTATAATATTGATAAATAACCACTATATTATGAAATATAAGTATCTTTGAAAGCATCTATCACTTCAGTTGATTTGTAACTTCTCATCAGTGTTCTGAGTTGGCCCATTTTTTTTTTCAAATGAAAGATTTCCCTTGCCTTTGAGAAATACAATTTTTAAAGATTCCATTTAGCATCCTTTATTGCATTCCTACATCATAAAGTTATGCTTTATAGCAGCATAAAAAAGCTGTAAAATTAGCATCCTTGTAAACAACCTTCCATGCTCACTGGTAAAGCAATCTATAATTTGTACTGATCTCTTAAATGTGACTTGAGATTATAGTAGCTACGATTTCAATTTAAAAAAAAAAAAGCACTAAGTTAAGAGAGAATATGATGAAATGTAAAAACAAGAAAACATATTTTTCATCTACAGACATTTCAGAAATGTGATTATGTCGCTAAATTCTGGAATTCTAAAATACAGAAATGCTCCATTTTTATCTGAAATCCCAAATGAGCATGTTTTTATCTTCTTTAATATTTTAACTTTATACTAAAAATACGCTTTAGAAAATGTAGAATTGAAATATTCGGTGAACCCTACCCACCAATTTTACCTCTAATTCCTAAGGCAACACGAAGATATGATTTTTCTTTATCATAGAAAATCATGGCTTTTCGTCTTGCCTTCGAGGAGATTTCCCTGCTCTTAGCTGAGTAACAATTAATAGTTCCTAGAATTCACATGTAGCCCAGCGGTTCAAAACTATATTCTAGGGCGAGGGTCTTTTTAGGATTTACTCAGTGGCAACCAAATGAGAAATCTTCCCATGGGAAAGGGTGCACTCTCAATGCCTATAATGACCCTTAAGTTTTAAACTACAAGATCGATTTTGATTAGTCTTCCAAAGAATGCCTGTGATATTGATTTGCCTCCAAGTTTAAAACACACCCACAACCTTCCCTCCCAGACTACCAAAGAAACAGCAATTTTCGCTACTAGTTAGTGTGGGGCTGTCCCCCGAGCACGTGGATATATTCGAATTTAACTTGCACCAAGTAAGGACCCTGAGAAAATGAGAGGGGCCAGATGAGGCAAAACCTGAGAGCCACAGCCCAAAGCCAGGTATCTCCGAGGAACTTTTTCAGATGTGCGGTTTCCCTCCGCTTGGGAGGTCCCAAGTCCCAGTACCGGAAGCCCAGCCTACATCCTGAGGACCCAAAGGGGCTGGGTCGCCTCTTTCAGAAGGCCGGGAGGCCTAGGGCCTAGGTAAGGAAATCACGACCTTCCCCCACACTCTGGCGCACTCCCCCTCCCTCCACCCCGGCCCTTTCACAGCCACTGTGTACCTGGGGTCAGATAAGGCTTTGGGTGACACCGGAAGGTTCCCAGGCTCCCTTCACTATGATCCTTCTTCTCGCCTACAGCCTGCCCCTCACACACGCACGCAGCCGGACCACGCCCGCCCTCCACTTCTTTGCCCATGGGAAACCGTCCACACGCAAGGCTTATCAATTCCTCGCCCTGCTTTTAGTGCCGGCAGCTGGGCCCTGAGGCCCATCTCGGGCTTCCTAGGCCTGCGTGGGCTCAAAGCCTCGCGAGGCCTCGAGCTCACGTGAGGCCCTCCGCACCCGGCCTTCTAACTTCCGGCCTGCGATTCAAGGCGCGGCCTCCTCGCCCAAAAGCTGTGTGGGACAGCGCTGCCTCGGCTGCGGTGCAACCCGGAAACCGTGGAGAGCTGGGGATCCCCAACTCGGGTTGAGCGCAAATTGAGAGCCCATAGGACGAGCTCTCTCCCCCTTCCCCATGAGACCCTCTCCTGAAATTCAGCCACAACAAAACCCATCATTCTCCATATCACATACTGAAAATGATTTTATTTTAACCATTTACATTTAACTTGATATAAACTTGTCCGGAAAAGTCAAATAATATGCTTTATATTAGCTCAAACATTTATTAAGAAAACCAAATTCCATAAATAAGCACAGACAATAAGTTAAAACATATCACAAATTGACCAGTATGTAACAAGAATGCTTTATCTACACAAAACATCCTATTTCACATGTTTGTTCATTCTTCGAAAGCGCTTCTGTTCTCTGGGTTTGGATTTGACCAGCACATGCAGAAAGAGCTGATTGTGTTTCTCTGTACAAAGTTGCAGGGTTGTAGATGTCCAAGTGCACCCATCGGCAGCCGGCAAGGGCCAGGGCAGTGGCCGAGGGGCACGAGGGACGACAGGACGACCACAAAACAACCTAGGGCACAGAGCAGCGAGGAGAGAGAAACGGAAAAGGAAGCAAACAAACCCCAGTCCTGAAGGATCCAGAAAAGAGATGTGGCTTTTACTTTTACAAAAGGAAATTTTTCTTACGTTTACTTTATTCTTCCTTATAAAGACTTATCAAAATGGGTAGGATCACCTCTTCTTCATCACATGACTGCTTTAGTCTATCCAGCCACCCAATCCACTGGCATGTTCCTCCTGAGAAGCCTTCCCTTCAATAACCTCACACAGTTGTGCTTAAGAAAATAAAAGTAAGATAAAATAAAAGTGTTCTTTTGCAAGCCAACAGAGGGCTGCATGGATGTGACTAGGTGGATGGGGCAAGGGTCGGGTGGTGGGAAAGGAAAAAAAAAAAAAAAACAGGAGTTCGGAGAAAGAATACAGGGATAAATCAAATTATGTCCGTTGGGCCCTCAGATGAGGCGGTTGTAGCAGATGCTTGTCCTCCTTTAAGACGAAAATCCCTAACATTGTGCTGTCCCTTGAACACGTCCGTATGTGACCTAGGTGCACTGTGAATGTGTGTGTGCGCGAGTGTATGCAGTGTCTGAGAGTGAGCGAGAGTGCGAGTGTGTGTGTTTCTGCCCACAAACCAGTCCATTGGTGTCTGATTTCAGATCCTGAGTCGACTCCCTGGTAAGTAAAATGGCGGGAAGGATGCTTTTGCAGGGCGCGGGAGGAGGGGTGTGAGGTGCGGGTTAAGAAGGGACCCGAGGGGAGGCGGCGGGCGAGGGGTCGTAGGCGTCGTGTTGAAGGTGTAGGTGAGAATGCCGCCAGTTGGAAGGCTGGGAGGAGGGCGCAAGCACGCTACGTGCGAGCCGGGTGGCCGGGGGTAGCTGAGAAGGGTAGGGTGAAGCGCGGGAGAAGGGGTCAGGGAAGATTAAGCGAGGCGGGAAGTGGAGCTGGGGGTGGGGAGGGGGAGAGGGGACCGGGGCGAGTGAAATCAGGCGGAGGGGAGGCCTCGCGGGCTGGGGCTTGGGGTGAGCCCGAGAGAGCGAACGAGAGAGGAGAGAACGAAACGAGAAGTGGCGGAGGCCGGGCGGGGATGGGGCAGGGCGCCGGGGCAGGGGCCCGGGCAGGGAGCGGGGGCCCGGGCGCGCGCCGAAGGACCTCGGGGCGGCCCTGGGGGCGGCGCCGGGGGCGGAGCAGGCTGGGCGCGGCTGCATTAAGTGAAGCTCATGGAGACTGTGTGCTCTAGCGCCTTGCGGCGGAGGGAGGCGATGCTTGTGCCCCGCCACACGTCGCTGCTGTCCGGGGAGCTGCAGAGCTGGGGCGAGCCGGAGACGTTGCTGGGGCCGGGGAGGGAGGCGGGCACCATGCCGGGGAATGCGGGCTGGTAAAGATGCGACTGCAGCCCCGCGCCGTTGGAGCCCGCCAGGCTGTTGGATAGGCCCATGGAGTTGGGCGGCGGCCCGGCCGCCAGGCTGCACTGGGACAGCGACTGAGCCATGGCTTGCTGCCTGCCCAGAGCCGGCGGCAGCGGGAGCTGTGACACGCCCGGCATGGCGGCCGCCGCCCAGCGGGTGTCGTTGGCGTGGAAGGAGCACAGGCTGTCGCCCATGGCGGCGGCGGCCGCGGCGGCGGCTGACGGAAACTGAGGCAGGCCTGGCGTGGGCAGCAGCGTCCCCGGCGCGCGGAACACGTTGGTGGTCTTCTTGCGCTTCTTCCACTTAGCGCGCCGGTTCTGGAACCAGACCTGGAGCGGGCGGGGCGGGAGACAGAGCGCTATCAGCAAACCGACCGGCCCGGAGGGGCGGGGGCTTGAGCCTGAGAAACCTGCGTCAGACCCTGCCCCAGGTGGAACAAGGGCTTTCGACCCAACGCGCCCGCAGGCCAGCCAGAGACCGCGGTTCCTGGTCAGCTGGAGAAAACCCGCGCCCGGGGCACTCAGCAAGCGCTCACTTCCGGGGTCCTGAGTAGTCGTGCCCCCCGCGCTCCTACACTCGCTGCGAGCACACCACCGCGCGCGGCGCCCCAGCATGCTGGCACATTCTGTGCACTGCTTAGATGCACAAGTCTGCAGGCAGGCATGTGTCAAAATTGGACCCACAGGTGTACAAATGAAGATAAACATGCGTACCCATGTGGCTTAATAGCGTGCCTTATAACACTGATGGGGTATAGAATTTTCAGAAACGCTGGAAATTTGGAAATTGATGAAAGGCTGTGCATGACATAGCCGGTCTCAAAATCGAAAGACAAAGGAAAACCCCTAACGCCACGGATGACAAAGCGGAGAGGTTAATATAGTGATCCATGTGGGAAAGTGAGCGGCACTGAGCTACGGTGTTTGGGTCGCCACCGTGACTTGCGATCCCCAGCGACTGGTGCTTCTGCCACAAGTCTCATTGCCTCATTCTCAAACCCCTCTAACGGCACCTTTTATCTGAGCTGTGCAGATACACTGGAATCTGCTGCCAGAGCCCGGTGCCTGCCAGTCTATTTTAAGAAACTTACTGAGGACACGAGGCTATAGGGCCTCCGGTTCCGCAAGTCCCCCCTCTCTATTTCCTGTTTCATCTATAACTGAAAGCAAATTTTCTGACTACAAATTAAAGGTCAGGTTTAAAGCTCACACTAGTAATGAATCAAATTTAATATTGCGTAGATCCAATAGCCACATATCTTTTTAAAGGAGATGTGTTTGATAAAATATACTCCAAATAAAAATAAACCTACTCATTCTTTATTCACAATAACCCTGAATTTCTGAACTTACCAAACAAATTTGCCTACTAATGTCATATTCGCTACCACGGGAAGGAAAGTTTCTTCTTAAAGATGTCAGACCTGCCTGACCAAGGTAGCCTCCTGTCTCCTTATATTTGAATTTGATATTTATTTTTTTAATTCTATATTTAAAAAAAAAAATCATCATAATAATTCACAGCATACCTACGTGGCAGGCTTTCAGTTTAACATCTAGTTAGGTGGAGGTTTACTGTGCATAAATACAAATGATGTGAGACACAGCTCAGGTACTGATGAGTTTCCTCTTAGAATCTGGCAAACGCAATTTGACCATACTCGTGACCAAAAGGCCATTCATCTGTTATTCCAAGCTAATGTTCAGTGTTTATCCTGCGAGATAAAGGGTCATGAGTATGGACGTAACTGACCCGTTGTTGGTGAGCCAGCTATTCAGAGGTGTGTTACACCCGTGCAAGTGGAGACTGTATGCTTAACAGTGTGAATGGCTTTGCAATCTAGAATTATCTCCTATCTTTGGGTCGGGCCTGGCCCTGCCACAACATTCTCACCATTGCCCACCATGTTATCTTTCTCTGATTTCTACCCCATTTTCCATGTTTCTGCCTACCCCAAGTTCCAGACTGTATAAAGATGCAGGGTCCCTTACTTGCTAAAGCCCCTTGAGTTGGTGGCACGACGGATTAATGAGGCTGCAGGGCCCTTGATAGTAACCGGGATCAATGCTGCCGACAGCGAATTGAGCTGTTAGTGGCCTGGAGCGGAGAGTAACCCACAGAAGCCAAGGAAAACACGGCGAGGAGACCTGCGGCCACAGGTCACTTTGCATTCCCCATCCACGGGCTGGAATGGGGGGAGGTAAACTGGCTAAAGCCCTAGACAGGGATGGTGTCTAGGTGAGAGTCCCATCTCACATTCTACACCCAGATATATTTTGAAAGGTATCTATAAAGGCTGGTTTCTAATATCCTGCAAAGTGTCAATGAGTCCTGAGAATGTTTGACTGTTTGGAACGTGGGGAAGGAAGGTGGCGGACATCTGTGGGGGAGCGGGAAGAGAAGCAGCAGAAAGAAAGAAGGGGGGCAGGATTGCCCCATAGGATTTCAGTGTAAAACACACCCACTAGAAAGGTTTCTGAACCTCAGACACAGGTGGAAAAGAACAGCTGTTAAAGAACTAAATATTATAGGGATAATCGAAAAATCGTGCTCAATTATGTTTGAGGGTTAGTAGTCAAATGATGGCTACAAAATTTTTTATGTTTCATGGCTTACTGGGGTTGGGAAAAAAATCTGCATGGGGTCTGAGCACCTCCGTTCCAAGCTATGATGCATATGTTTTTAAAATGTGAATGTTTCCACTTGAAAACTAGAGCATGACGGATTAAAATGCAGGCAAAACCTAAGGGAGATTTTGAGAATGCACAGATGACAACTGCAGAAAATATATTAACCGCAGCCACGGGCCAACTTTGTACTCAGTTTGAAATGCAGCTCTTCTCAGAAAATGCTTAATACAACAGTGAGAATCTAATGGAGGTTGGAATTTAAAAATCCACTTTCATGATATCTGCTGTTACAGTAATATAGACATACTGTAAATGTATTTTAAAATATATAGCCCATTTAATTCCCCAACTATAAAAGGCTCAGAAATAGAGAAAGAGAGGAAGAAAGAGAGAATATTACTTTTTTCCCCCTCGAAGCAAACGCTTTATGAAGATCTCATTGGAATCCAGCAAATGATTAATGTGAAGATTTGGGAGGAAATCTGGGGAGCTGTATTAAAGCCGAGATCTCAGGTTCATTTCGATCAGCCAGCCGTGAACTCTGGGCCGAATTCATTACACTTTAATAGTGCTGGGAGAGGAAGAAAATGCAATTTCTCATTCCATTAGAAAACTAGAAAATACTCTCAGCTTGTCCCCCTATTAAGATGTGGCAGGTGACAGGGCCATTCTGGGGGACACGGTCAATGGAATTACAGCACATTATTTTTGTTCGTATAAAATATTGAAAGGCAAGCCTGACTGTGCAGAAGTTATTTCACTGATTTGGTTTTTATGTAAATAAAATATTGAAAGTTAATTAATCCGTGCTAGAGACTAATGATTATGCTTATTATATTGCATTTGATCGCGTAATTTGCATGATTCTCGCATTGCTGCTTAATAAGCCATTCCAGGTTATAAATAATTCTGAAATTGGTTTCTAATAATGGCATGCTATAAAAGGAATGGTTTTATTACACTAGCCAGAAAAAGGGAGCGATATCAGACATGGAATTGGCCTCCATGTAAGTAGAGGTGCTTTTATAAATGCTTAAAAAGTATGATATATACCAGAGATAGATAAAAATAAGTGTGTTGGGTCAGTTAGTCTAGAATTAAAAAGCATCTTTAAAAACATACAATTGTAATAAATTAAATATTTAGATCATTTTTAATCAGTGCAGTGGCCCACATACTGAAAAGAATGTGTGGCAATCTGTTAACTATAAAGAAAACTATGAAGGACTCATCATATAAGAACATAAACCAATTACTATTTAATTTGAATTTGGTCAAGGAGCAATGGTACAGTGAATTGTGAAGTAAATACATTTTCCATAAATTATTTTTGCATTACATTACATAATGTTAATCATTCTGAAATGTTAATTAAGAAGGTTATGTTGATCTGATTACTTTTTAAACTATGAAACATTATTTTTAAAAATATTGAAATTGCCATTCTATTAAATTGTTCCTATCAGCAGCCTCAAGCTATTATCTTTTGTTGAACATTATGCGAGAACAATTAAAGTACTTTGTCTTTTTCTTCTTGATTATTCTTTTGTGTACTTTTTGAAAATAACTTTCTATAACATAGTTTGTATTTTATTTCATTTACAACTTTTTATATTAAAAGAATCACTGCCATTAACCTTTGGAAGACCTAATAAAGTTTAACAGACCTCATTTTCTTTTTTCATAAAGTCAGTTGTCCAATTATATTTTATTTGTGATTCTAAGTTCTATTTTAATTTAAACTAATTACCACTATGTCTAGGTTAAGCAACAGCATTTTACTCTTTAAAACAAAAATTATCAGGTAGTATTTCTCTTGAGAGACAAAAAACAAATTTATGAATTTTGTACTTAGGAGATTTTAACAAGCCAGTATTATCATTAGCTTTAATGGAAGTATTGAAATTGTGTATTTCTGTTAAGGTTTGGACTCGACTTCAGATTTCAAAAGAAAAGGTAAGTAAAATTTATTAAAAACAAATAGTATATATCTGCACAATAGTATATATCTGCACAATGCAATTAACACTCTTTGGGTGTTTAATTTCAATGGCCCATGGTTCAGGGCTTCCAAAGTTCACTAATGAAACCACCCAGACTTATACTAAGTAAAAATGTTAATCTATATTATACCTTGATTATTTCTGTATTAATCTGACCACTTTAAGTCCCCAATGATAATATCCATTTGCTGACTATTTAGAACAGAAGCATATGCTATTTTTCCAGGTTAGACTATCTTTAAAATGTCACACAAAGACAGAAATATTCAACCCTGTGATTATGGACACCCTTGCCTCTTCTTAGATCAAATATAAAGGAACTGATATTTTTAAACTTAATTTGTTAAAGCACCTACAGCTATAGTTGATACTCAGCATGACAGAAATATCACATCGGAGGCAGGAAAGGAGGGTTTTCAGAACCCTGGATAGTTCAAGACCAACTGCGGGACTTGGAATTTCACCTCCACACTTGTCCATAAAATATCTGATATTTTGTTTTCATTCTTCTAAGAAGCCCCCCAAAAAAAAAAAATCTGAGATTCGCTGGGCTTATACATTTTTTCCCTAATTTTCAGAAAAGTTATAGGTGTGATTTTATAAGTTATATATAATTTACAACTTGGAGGGTGGTTGGACGAGAGCAAGGGGTCAGTAATGATTTCGTCTACTACCTGTCAATCTTTCCGGTCCTGAATGTCCTTTCTTCAGATCGGATATCTACAACAGAAAGCCTTCATCCCCCTCCTCCCAGTTTCCATAGGGGAAAACCAGGGCTCACAGACTGTAGGGGATCTCTTCAGCCTCCCTCAGCGCACTGGTAGATCATCAAAGTTTAAAACCTTTGCAAACCTCAAAGCTCGGGGTATTTTGTCGAAGAGCGGCGGGAGGGAGATGTTCAGGAGAATAAAGCTACACGGTGAACCTCAGATATGGGTTTTTTTTGTTTGTTTGGTTTTTGGTTTTTGGTTTTTTAGGTGCCATTATGTCTTATTTTCTCCCTTTTCAAGTTTTCTGGATAACTGTTGCATTCCCGCATTTATCTAGACGCCTTACACGGACTCATTAGGGGGTAATGAAATACTTGTCAATAACTCGAGCTGGAGTGGAGGTGCGCGCTCGGCTTAGCCGCCAGGGAGACGCAGAGCTGGGAGGTGCGGAGGCTGGGAGATTCGGAGCTTCCCTTCTCAGTCAAGACGAATGAGACGACCTAACAGTCGAACAACGCCGGCTTCGCTTTTGAGGCATTTCTGTGGGAATGTGACTCTACTGGTGGGAGAAGGGGGCCCTGCTTGTCCACGAAACTCACAGGCAGCCGAAGCGCAAGCCCAGGACCCCGTCAAGGAAAAGACCCCACTTCTTTTGCCCATATCCTCCCGCCCCTCCTTGTCTGCTGCCCCCGCGCCCAAGCCCGGCGTACCTGCACTCGGGACTCGGTCAGCCCGATACGCAGCGCCAGCTCCTCGCGCATAAAGATGTCGGGGTAGTGAGTCTTCGCGAAGCTCCTCTCCAACTCGTTGAGCTGAGCCGGCGTGAAGCGCGTCCGGTGCCGCTTCTGCTTCTGTTGGCCCTGCTGCTGGCCGGCTTGGCTGGGGTTCGGGCCGCCTTGGGGCCCCGGCTGTTTGTCCGGGTCCTTTGCGCTCACCGCCAGCGAGGCCGGCGTAGAGCCCACTGTAGTGATGTCCTCCCCGGGCAGCAGAGTCGCTCCCTCGACTGGGTCGGAGTTGGGCGCTAGGTCCCCCGGATGGCCCCCAGGGTCGGAGCCCCCCACGCCCAGCCTACACTTCACCGCCTCCCGGTGGCCCAGAAGCTCAGCGGCATCTTTCATACCTGAGGAGGCAAGGGGATCGCGGTCACTACTTTCCTGGCGATGCCAAGAGAGACCGTCCTCACTTCGCGGTCCTCCTTCAGCCCCATCCTCGGCTCCCTCCGCGCCCACGTGCGCCCTACAGAGGAAACTCCCGGGATGCTCAGCTGCGTTCCCCAGAATTTGGACAGCCAGGTTGGAGTACCATCTCCCGACCCTTTCCCCTCTCCCGGCCGCCAGCGCCCGTAGTATACAGCACATGCTTTCGTATCTCCCGCAAAGTAACACTCCCAGTCCCGGCAAAGAAACGTGCCTCCGAGTCCCTTTCATGAACAGTACCCCTGAAGCCCCTTGGACCTTGGACCAGGTTGGGGTAGGCGGGGTGGGGGTGAGGGGTAGAAAAGAAAGAAAGAAAATGAAACGATTCCTTGGTTGCTGCCCCACCTGCGCTTAGGCAGCTTAACGAACTCTACCGCCGGCCCTCAGCCGATTCCCTCTCACTTTTGGAAGATGAATAATTCTCCAAGCCTTCTACCCTCTGAAATCAGCCCAAATCAGCTCCGCCTCTGCCTCAAATCAGAGAAAGTGTTTGGAAAATGGAGTCACATCCATCACCAAAGATTCCCAAACCGGAAACCCAGAGCTCAGCAACCCAGACCGCATTAAGGAAACTCAAGTAAACTCTATAGACAGAATAGTGAATCAAACTTCAGAGAATTCAACTTTTCTTTCCGGAGAAATAAAAGGCGCGTTCCCCTCAGACATTGTCAACGCCGAGTCCCTTGCAGGCGGGGATGCCTGTAGGGATGAATTTGGCTTTTCTCCTTTCTCAGTGAACACACTTAGAAAATCCGCCTCGATTGCGGCGACTTCTCTTTTACGCCAGATTTTTACAAATTCAACCATACTTAGATGAGGGGTAGAGAAGGAGGTAGTGGGAGAGAGAAAGGAAAAAAGAGGAGAAAAAAAATCCCAAATCAAAGCAAACAGGCGGGGAAGAGAGAGAAAGAAAAACACCTCCGAACAAATTATCTCAGGGTAGATCGCCGTTCAAAAAAAAAATTTAATAATAATAAGGGAGAGGGAAGAAGGGGGGGGGAGAAAAACAAAAAGTAACAACATTTCCCTAGTCCTTTTTGGATCTACATATTCCATAGATTTTTTTTAAAAGACGATGTTAAATCAAATTAAACTTTAATGCAGCACAATTACTTTTAAAGAAATTAGTCCATTTAGGGCGCATTAAGGTAAAATAAGGAACAAATTGACAATTTCCTGCCCGGGCTTCTCCTGGCTGCCCGGTCGAGAGGCGCGCACTCACCTAGCCTGGCGTCCAGGAGGTCGGCGTGAGACAGCATCGCGCACCGCTCCAGGGCGAAAGCTGTTCCCCCCCAAATTTTAGCGGCTTTAAGTTATTTAAAATAGATATAAGCTATAAGCTATACGATATAGATATATATAGATCACCTAAATGAAAGAAAATTCGGTTTGTGGTTAAAAAGGGGGCTTCTTGCATTATAATGTCCTTTAGAGAGACGGGGAGGTGCTTAACAGTTGAATGAACCCGTGAGCAGCTCGGCGAGGGGACCAATCAGGAGGGCAGCCTGCAAATGTCAGCGCCGGGAGAGTCCCCCACTCCGCCCGCCCGCCCGCGCCCGCCCGGAGGAGGCGGTGGCGGCTGCCCTGGCAGCTCCAGCCGACAGCAGCAGCTAAAGCAGCGGAGGCCGCCTCGGCCTCGCCGGGGGCTCAGCGGCCCGGCCTCCGCTGGTTCTTCTCGCGATTTTCTCCAGGCACACCTTTCCTTTTCCTTGTCCCTGTTCCCTCCAAGGTGCAGCTCTGTCTCTGACGACTAGGATCTTCCCGGGCCCAAGGGACAGAGCACGGCTTGACCCCCGCGTGACCCGAGAGTCACTCCCGCCCGCGCGCTATGGGCCACCCTGGCCTGCTGCTGGCTCGGGCCTGCCAACACTCAGCACAACCCGCGCCCTGCGCGGCCTCTAGACCGCGCCTAGACTTCGCGGCCGCCTAGCAGGCCTGAGCCTAGGGTACAGATGCCCCTGGCTGGGACCCCGGCTCTAAAGAGTACCACCCCCTCAGCAGGCCTAGAGAGGAAAAAAGGAGTAGACTCCCCCCGCGGCGCTTCCTGGGCCCGCAGTCAGTTTCAGGGCTCCGAGCAGAGTGCCGATTCGTACACTCTGTACCCTTCCCGCTGGGAGCCCGCTCCTCTGCCCGGCCCACGCTTGCATCCTGGCCCCACATCCTGCTCTTTCGGTCAAAGTTTCTAAGTTCAGCTCGGTTCCCAATTCCACTTATGGCTGTAAATAAAGTTAAATGCTCTTTATTTTCTTCTTGAATATGTTAAACTACTTGAACAATTTAAAGTGCTTTGCACAAGTGAAGCGAACCATCTCTAATGTTCTGATTTTTCAGAGCCAGCCAACAACAAAGTTTAGATTAGTAATATATTTCTAACCAGAGTAATTTTCAAGATCATTAGGCATTTATGTAATTAGTGCCAAATCTATAAGCTTTTATTACGATTATTAGAGTAAAATCAGTATAAATTTGTACTAATTTACTACTGTTTAGACTTGGCTGTCAAGCCCAGAGGTTCTTATTGTAAATGATAACTGAGGAAATTAAGTGCAAAATTCTGTACCATTTCTGATCTGCTCCTAAACAATCCGTTTCAATTGTATTTGTAGCAGAACATAATGCCCTTTTAAAGTTATTTGACTTGTATTTTTATTTGCAACACAAGAAAAATGCCCTCTACCCAGGCACAATGAAAACTGATATTTACTACTCTCAACTTGATTAACATTGATTTTTAATTCGAGAGTGATGCAATTAAGATTATTCATTTAGTGCAAATAAAGCTTCCACAAAAGGGTGGTCCTATGAAGTCTGTTTTAAATAATACCGAGCAAATGGCTTTTTTTGTTCGCCGTCCAATTGACTTACACAAAACATTGGAAATGCTGCCTGAGAGCAGATGCGAGAGGCATGGGTGTGTGTGTGTGTGTGTGTGTGTGTGTGTGTGTGTGTGTGTGTCCTTAGCTGCATGTGTGACAGGGAGCGAGCAAGGAGACAAAGGAGGCTGCAAGGCGAACTCTGGGACAGTTGTGCTTCCTCCTCCTTCTCTCCTGCAGCCTGCTCCCCTCCTCCCATGCACACACACGTGCGCGCGCGCACACATGCACACACGCGTGATTGCCGGGCATCAGCCACAGCGGTTCCTTCCAAGCTGCGGAGACGGCCTTCCCGGAAGGTCTGGGCCTGGCCGAGCTTCAGCGGCCGCCGCAACTGATGCCAACGCGGCCTGTGTGGGGCCAGGGCGCCGGGAACGCAGATAGCAGCCTGGCGGAGCCCGGGTGGCAGCAGCACGCTTGGAAGCCCCCAGGGTGCTCCGCAGACACCTAGCGTCCTTTCGAGAAAGCCTTGATGGGAAGGAGAATGCCTAAACCTAAGGCAAATAAAGTCCCTCCAGTAAAACCTTCCCCTTCCCCCAAACAAAACCCCAAATCCAGAAGGGACTGCGCCAGGCGTTCGAGGCGAGAGGCCAGACGGCGGCCTGGGGCTGGGCGTCCTGGACGCGGCTCCCAAGTGCCCACCTGGCTGCACGTTGCCGGGATTCGCAGGGGGTTGTGTCCACCTGGGAGGGACTTGCAGGGGCTCCAAGACCCGAGCGCTGGGGCAGAGGCGGGCAGAAGTGTCAGAGCAAGAGAGAGGGGGGCCTGGGAGCTGACCCTGCTCCTCCAAACAGGCAAGTCCGTGGAGGCCCGTTTTGCCTTGGCGGTGCACCGTGTCAGGAGGGAGGGAGGAGAGGCCGCGACGTGGGGAGAGAAGAAGGGCGCGGGACCCCGAGTCCGCTCTCGTGTGTACACAGACGCTCTTGTCCTCCTCCCACAGCCACTCCCAGAACAGCCGCGGGCCGTGCAGCGTCCTCCCACACGCACTCGCTCGTATATTCTGTTTTGTTGTATCTTTCAGGTCGATAAATAAATGTGTAATAGTTAATGTGAAGACACATCAGAGTAATAACAATGGGACGAAATCAAAGGATTATCCATCTCTGTTAGTAACCACTGAATAACAATGTTGCGGCGTGATTGATAGCCCGCTTCATTTTATGACTTTTCTATTGGTCTTGATTTTTATAGCAGTATAAACAAACTAAATCATTTCTTCCAAGACTTCAGAGCATAAGCATCTTGGCGGGGGTAGGTAGGGATAAAGGAAAGGGGGGAAAAAAAGAAAGGGAAATCTGAGAGGGGAGGGGGTGACGGGGGTGGTGTGGGGGCGTCGAGGTGGGGATGGTGCAAGCTGGAGCTGGAGCCGGATGTCGGGAGCCGGTTGCCAGCAGGCGTGGCGAGGAAAACGACAATAGTCTGGATGTAAAATGCTCGTCCCCGCTCCCGGTTTCCTCTCGGCAGCTCGTTCTGGCCAAAGTCTGAATCCACCTGGGCAGCGCCTGAGATGTGTTTACCAGAGTTGTATTCCCCGTCATCTTCCCACGTTCCTGGGGCAGCCGGGAAAGTGCCGGTCAGGCCCATTGCTATTGATAATTTAAGGCATTTCCCACATGATCATGGGAACTGAAGTCCCTAACAAGGCAAGGCTTTAGCGCAATGGCCCCCAAATCTTCGGAATGACATGAATGTCTTCAGAAATCACTTCAAAGCAAAGTAAAAGGATTTTCTATGACGGATCCAGTGATTTTTCCTCAATAAATAGGTTTTAGATTGTTACACACACGTAGAAATGGAACAAAGGGAACTACCAGAAAATATATTGGTTGCCCCTAATAAAATTTATTTAGACAGTTTACTTCTCATAAAAAATAGAGATTGAATTTTGTACAAGAGCCTGCCAAGGGGCGATGCACAGGGAAATCATTTTTTTTTTTCTTTCTCCTCTTTTCCGCTTCTCCTTTTTAACGAAGCACAAAGACCATTTAAAGGCCAGGGAAACCGCTCTGTCTCCCGATGGGCTGAGCGCCTAGACCCAGCCCGAGAACTTTGTAGTTTTGAGAGAATGGGCTTTCTGGGATATGTGTATATATATTAAAACAAAACCTTGATGGCTGATTATGTAAACTACAAGCACAGCGACTACCAAATGGGTGTCTCTTCTGCTTTGCCATCCTGGTCCAGAGAAAGATTTAGAAATACAGTATAGTTGGATGGGGAGGTGAATGGGGTGGGAGATCCTGGCAGCAAGTGCCCAAATGATGGATTTATGCTAATTAGGTTTGTAATTCTGATTTTATCTCTAATTGTATTTCTGTGCTCATTGTGAATCTTTTGTAGAGACTGAGAGACAGAAAGAATAAAAATTTATACTAGGTGCTCCTGAAGAATTGGGTAGTGTGCCCAGCTCCCTGATTGTTTATTCCACTTACAGAAACCTCGGGTGTTTATTAAATGTAACTTTCGGCTGCTTGGGTTGTTTGTAGACTGCTCTCTTTTCTTTGCAAACAGTGGGCTGAAATATGGCGCGTTATTATTCACATTCCTGCTATTAAATGCTGAATTGTAACATTGTTCCCTTTAATGAGGAGCGCCTCCCTCAATAATTAACGATCTCACATTTTCCTATTTTCTTGCCTGATGAAAAGAATCAATTTTAATTCGTGGTAAATTACAGCCATGCTTTTGGGTATTATATGCTTACAGAAAACAAATCAAGTGACTTGAACAATCCTGTTTACTTTTCCAGATATGCAATAACCCAAACGCAATGGCAAATCAGATCCCGTTCCTCAGGCCTATCTTAAGAACCTCGAAAAGAATAAAGGGTGGGGGGCAAAAATTCGAGAAAAAAAAGAAACAAGAAGCTCTCAAGGCCACCATGTCCGAAACAATGGTGACCACTTTCTCCTATATCTTACCCCAGTTGCCAGAATGGAAGCTCCCCCAGCCCCAAACCTCATCGAGCCGGGACAGGGGTCAGTGGTCCACATCTCGCCAGGCTAGAGTTTGGAACTGCTTGATGTATGGCTCCTTTGAAGGGACTCAATTTGAGGATGGGGTGTGTGGAAGGAAGGAGATCTGGGAGGGCAGCCAAGTCTCTGGGAAAGGGTGACAGGCACTTCTACATTTCTCTGCGTTAAAGAACTCTCTTGGGGTTCCCCGCAAAAGAGACCACAGCCAAAGAGGCTTTGGCTGAGTACTCCTGCCTGGCCACTGAGAAAGCTTCCTGGGCTCTCCCGCCGCCAGCGACTCACCAGGGCAAACTGAGGGCCTCTACCCCCTAGCCAACCTGGCTTGGGGCCAGCCCAAACTTGCATGCTCCCGGCCTCCGTAGGCCGGGAGCTCAGAGACTCTGGGCAGCTCTCAGTGAGGGTTGTCCCTTT